ATAGGTTAATGCTGTTGTAATGAAATGCTTCTTCTAATTAAAAAAAAAAAAAATTACATTTATTTGTTTTGTGTTCTGTGTCTGAGCACATGCATACACGTCATGGTGCATACATGGAAGTCAGAAGACCAGTTGCAGGAGTAGGTTCTTTCCTTCCACCACGTGGGTCCGGGAGATCAAACTCGGGTCATCAGGTTTGGCGGCAAGCACCTTATCCATTGGGCCATTTCACCACCCCCCACCTTCTTTTCGGTGACTAGGTCTCTCAGTGGCTCAGAGTTCACCAAGTAGGGTAGGCTGGCTGGCCATGGAGTCCCAGGGATCTCCCTGCCTCCATTTCCAAGCAACAGCCACCATGTCTGTTTTATTATTGTGGACTCTGGGGACTGAACTGAGACCTTCACGCTTGTGTGGGAAGCCGAACTATCTTCCCAATTCTTGAGTATATTGTCTATAACATGTATACCCCAGGGAGTAAAACTGGAAACTGTAAAAGAGATCAATGAAAGGGACGACCATAGAAAATGTGATCTGCACTAATTTGCCTCAAGTTTACTGGAGTCAATACTGTTTGTTCACACTCATACTCTAGGGGATTTTCAAGCTAAAAGAAACAATTTTCAGGTCAGCAATTAGATTAATGGGCTATTTTCTAAAATTAGGAAATTACTAATTTTGTTAGAATGGCATTGTTCTGTATTGTGTGTGTGTGTGTGTGTGTGTGTGTGTGTGTGTGTTGTGTGCATGCGTGTATATGCACCTATGTGTGTACATGTGGAGGCCCAAAGATAACCTCAAGTGTTGTTCTTCAGGCACTTTCTTTAAAAGATTAGATCTCCCACTGGCTAGACTTCACCAAGTAGACTAGGCTGGCCGGCCAGAGAGGCCTAGGAATCTGTCTTTCTCCACTTCTCCAGGGCTGGGATTACAGGTGTGATACCATGCCTAGATGGTTTGTTGTTCTGGGGATGGAACCAGGGTCTACAAAAGTAATTTAGACAGGGTCTCTTGTAGCCTCAGCTGGCTTGGAACTCACTATGTAGACCAAGCTGTCCTTGAACTCACAAGAGATCTGCCTGCCTTTGCCTCCAGTGTGGGATAAAAGGCATGCACCACCATGCCAAGGTCAGTAATTTATTTTTAATGTGTATGAGAGATGTAGGTATACCGTGTGTGTCTGGTACCTACAGAGGCCAGAAGAGGGTGTGGGATCCCCTAGAACAGGAGTTAATGATGGGTATCAGTCAGCACATGAGTACTGGGAACTGAACCTGGGTCCTCTGGAAGAGCAGCCAGTACTCCCAACTGCTAAGCATCTCTCCAGCCTCTGAAAGTACCTTATTGACCAAGCTTTCTCTTCAGTCTCCTGTTTTGTTTCATAAAATAGAGGAGCCTTACTATGCTAGTCAGGCAGGTCCCAAACATTTGACTTAAGTGATCCTCCTGCCTCAGTTTCAAGAATAGCAAGGACTATAGGCACATTGAAATCTTTGGGGATGAAATGATAAACCATGGTAACTGCTTCAAATCAATCAGATGTGTTACAAGAGAAGAGAGCAAGGCTGGGCGTGGTGGCACACACCTTCAGCCCCAGCACTCGGGAGGCAGAGGCAGGCGGATCTCTGTGAGTTCAAGGCCAGCCTGGTCTACATAGTGAGTTCCAGACCAGCTGGTGCTACAGGGAGACCCTGTCTCAAAAAGACCAAAAACAAAACAAAACAACCCCAAGAGAGTGAGAGGAACAACTGGATCTCAAGTGACACAAGATTGGTCTGGCTGATAACTACTAATGCTGGGTAACAGGAGGGCAACAAAGCCATTTATGATAAATATTCAAAATTTTTTAAAATAGAAACTTGAAAATACATGTGTGTACTTTATACCACGCAGAGCACACATCGTAGTATACTGTGGAGAGAAAAATAAAATAAGGCCACTTCAATCTGAAGGAATTTCTGAATGCAACAGGCAGGTGCAAACATACATAGTAACTATAGCAAGACTGGGCAGGCACAGGCTGGTGGGGCATCAGGGAGTATCCAGGGAGAGCACCAAGGATTTCCATTCTCTCTGGAGAAATTGTTTTAAATACCAAAGTTGGAAGACAGTTTTCTATTCTGTTGTAAAACAAACTGGCACTGGTGATGGGGTGACCAGAATGAGGATGTCAGGTGCTGCTAGTACATGGATGAAAGAACAGTCACAACAAACACGGTTCACTCAGAGCATGTGTGCAAGAAAGAGTATGTATGTTCACCTGTCAAAGTGTGTATAAAGACAGTGTGTACTTTATTGTGTGTGCTTGTGAAAGTATGGGTGCATATGTATTTTGTGATATATGTGAGACTCTATGTTTAAGAATGTGAGTAAGGGGCTGGAGAGATGGCTCAGTGGTCAAGAGCACTGGCTGCTGTTGCAGAGGACCCTGGTTCAGTTCCCAGAACCCACATGGTGGCTAACAACCATTTGTAACTCCAGTTCCAGGATATCTAACATACTCTTCTGGCCTCCGCAGACACTGCACAATATAGGTGCACTTACATACATGCAGGTAAAACACTTATACACGTTAAAAATAATTTGTTTAAAAAAGAATGTGAGTGTGCATTTGTGAGAGTATGTGTAAGAGTGCTGGGTATGGAAAAGGATGTACTTTATAAGACTGCATATGTGAAGGTATATATACATGTAACAGTTTATACGTGCATACATGTTACAGTATGAGTTGTATGAGTATGGGTACATATATGTGTTCAAATGCTGATGCATGCACAAGAGAGTGTGCACTTACATACATGCAGGCAATATACTCATACACATAAAATAAAAACATTTTTAAAAAAAAACAGATATTACGTTGACTTGGGAAAATTACCTCTAAGCAAAAAAAAAAATCCCTAATCCCCTTTCTTAGGGTATTGCCTATGCTTCCCCCACAGTATTACAGGAGAGAGAGAGAGAGAGAGAGAGAGAGAGAGAGAGAGAGAGCATGCACAGAGAGAATAAAGAACTGGGCCTGATGGTGGGGTATCCTACAACCTATAGCTGACAGGAAGCCACTGGGGAGGGGTGACATGGTTAGGCTGGCATTTTTAGACAAGCCATGGACTTGAGAGACAGAGGCCAGGCAGGAAGGCACACAGCCCGGGTAATAAGAGGAGAGCTTACTCAAGGTGTTGACAATAGAGACAGACAGACAAAGACTAGATGTGAACAAATCTGAGGAAATAAAAACCAATAAAAGTTGGAGTCTCATCTGGAATGACTAAATAGACATAGCAGCAAGGGGGAAATGAAGAGAATTCAGAGGGAGGATTGGTACAGTGTGCTGGTGCTGGTAACAGCAAGTACCACAGACATGGTAAGTCTGAGTGCTTGTGGAAAGACTAAGTAAAGATGGACAGCTGATCCAGGGTTTGAGCAACCTGGTCAGACTATAAATACCGTGGGTTTACCATATAGGTGGCAATAAATAAATCAATCCGAGAATGGGCCCAAAATGGAATGATCTAGAAATACTAATATTCCTGACCCAGAAAGAATGGGATCCACAAATAGAAGGCCAGAGGCAAATGGAAAGGCAGAGGAACCAACAGTGTCCAGTGTCACACACTGTCACTATCCCATGCTGCAATCTCCAGGAACAAAAACAAACGAGAAGACCTCTGACCAACAAGGAGTCTAGGGCAAGGGCAAAGTCTCTCTAGAGACCTGCACCACACATGTATTCAGAATGTGGGTGACATAAGCAAAAGATAGGGCACAGAGGAGACACAATACATGGTGTGGAACCCAGAGGCGGTGGTAGGACTAGGGAGGACAGGACAAGGAGCAGAAGCTGGCAAGGTGCATGGAGATATGTCACAGCTAGCCGCTTGGTGGTATTGGGGAGGAGGTAAAGAGAGCCAGCAGCAGGTCAAGTCTGTTCATTTGAGAGCTACAAAGACTCATTCTCATACCTGCTCTCGTTCTTCTGAATGAAATGTAACGGCGATGATTGTTCTTGGAACTTTATTTAAAATAGGGCTCATGTCATAATGTTATATGCTTTAAGGATAATTACAATAAAAAGGACAATTAAACACAGTGAGGTGACTAACACAGAGATAACAGAAAACACTTGAACAGGATCTTGATTTTAAAAATGAGTATTAGGTTTGCAGTCTAGCATGTAATGTAGTGTAAGCATGAGCATCCCAGTAATGAAGATCGCAAAAGAAATCCAACAATTAAAGATCTTCTTTTAAAAGGAAATGCCAAATCGCCAAGAGAACCTGCCTGAACTCACAGGTCACAGATGCCTATTAGAACAGCAACACAGCAGCCATGTGAGCAGAGATGCATACACACATGCGAACATGAAGGTCTGTGCGCACACAGGTTCCGAGATGGCTTTGTGAGGATACAGAAAAGTACACCACATGCAGTCACTTCTTACAAAAGCTGAAGCAGTCACCTGTAGGGCAGCAAAGATCACTCCTCTGGGAACTAAGCTAATACACACTGCTTTCTGGGAATCCAATTTAAGGATAAATCTTAGAACAGTGATAGTGATCAGTAAACTAAGCTGCTTAGGAACGTCAGCGCCACAGCTTATGTATTCTAGAACCAGGGCAGGGTACCTGAAAGGTTACAAATAATAAAGAAAAGCATAAAGAGGTATAATAAACGCAGTCATGCATTCCATGATCTTCAGGGTCAGGAGGCTGTTTTTCTCACTGTTTATACAGCAGTTTATACAGCACCATCAATACTTCATAAACAACAGGTGAAAAATTGATGTGAGCTGATCAACACCAAAAAAGGGTCAAATTAAAAGTTCAATCCTAAGGGCTACAAACATCTTACCGGATTAGTTATTGTGATGATCTCCCCCTCACTAACCGTCAGCTCATTGTTTCCTGGTTCAGCAGCAAAATCATACATGACCCGAGCCTGCTGGGAGCAGAAAGGAAAAGAGCAAGTTACAAATGCAAAGCGAACATAAAACCCCAACAACTTCACAGCTTGTAAACACGCTGGTGTGAACCCCACAGTGGCTGTGGCTGATCTGGAAGAAAGACAGACAGCTCAGAATGACTGACTCCTGCACAAGGATGGCCACAGCCCCTGCCCACATTGCACTTAGAGGTCAGCCCTATAAAGTACAACCTCAGATACTCCTGCTTCATTAAGAAAAGGCAAGCCTTCCTGTTAGGAGGCAGGAAATAGATACAGGTGTTTACTACAGGAACACTCAATCAGGAAGCCACGAGACGTACATATAGCATGCTGTGTCAGGTTGGAGCTAGACACTGGGATGACTTTTGATACTGTGGCATTCCCAGCCACATTATCAAACCTGCGGATCTGTGACTCAAGAAGCAAGATTCTGACTCTCTTCCATAGACCATGACACACTTTGCACTGGACTACGAGTTATACAGGGCTAGCTAGGTTACCTAAGCAGCTGTGATTTTCCAACTTTTCCATGAAATGAAATCTTAATATCAATTAAAATAGACTAGGAGTGTTAAGGAGACGGTTCAGTGGATAATGCACTAGCCGTACAAGCACGAGGACCAGAGTTTAGATCCTCTGATCAGGTAAACGTGGGGTGGGCACGGCGCCCCACCTGTACTTCAGTGTCTGGAAGGCAGAGATGGGATCCCCAGAGCAAGCTGGCCAATTAGACTGGCTGAATCGGTGAGCTCTGGTTTCAACTGAGAGAGAAGTAAGGTGGAAAGCAATCAAGGAAGGCTCCCAATGCCAGCCTTGGGCTTCCACATTCATGTGCAAACACGTGTACATGTGCATATGTATGCATATATACATGCACATTAAAAACACAGACACATGCAAAACACAAAGGAAGAACAGGCTGCGGGAAGCTGTTGTGGTTGCTGTGCGGGGCTGCACGCTCAGCCTCTTCTTCAAGTTGAGCCTTGAGACAGCAACGTAGAAATGTGTGTTCCTGGACACTACCAGCTGTGTGTCACCAGAGAACCATGGATGTAAAAACTGTGTGCATTTACACATGGCATCACATGCACTCATGCTTTTTCTGGTGGTGCTGGGGATCAAACCCCGGGCCTTGCACATACTAGGAATGCACTCTACCACTAAGTTCTATTTTCAACCCAGTGTCTTTGTTGCTGTTTGAGACAGGGTCTCCCTGCAGCCTGGGATGGCCCAGAACTCACTTTGCAGCTCAAGCTGGCTTCAAACTCATGGCAATCCTGCTTCAGCCTCCTGAGTGCTGGGATTATAAACCTCTGTGCCAGTTGCTAATCCATTTCTAACTCTAAATATCTAAAGAGTCTATGATAGTGTTTCATAAACTCTCTCTAGAAGTCCATCTTAGAAACTGGGGTCACATGTGCCTAGGAAACACAGCATGTGTTTAGAAGTGGCTGGCTTCCCTGAAAGGCAAATTCAGGTTTACCTACATTCTACTGAAATGGGACAGTGGAGGTATAGGCCCTAACAAGTCTTTATCAAACTCTCACCATGTTGCAAAAACAAGCAAGGGCCTTTCTTTCACACTGCCCTTCCTCCAAATTTGCTTCAATCATGCCCAACATTCATTTAATGGAGATGAAAATTCACAACTAGTGACCAAAGACGGTGGTCTTGATATATAAAAATAAAAAGATTTTATATATCTTGATATATAAAAATAAAAAGGCTGCTGGATAAATGTGATAAATCAAGTATTATAAAATGTTACAGAATTTAAATGGTAGGTCATGATATTCAATGGAAAATTATTTTTTCCAACATTTTTACATGCTTGAAATTTTTCCCTAATAAAATGTTGGAAAGAAATAAATTTCAGGATGGTTTACCAGTTGAGAAAGCCCATCAACTCTGTCCATGGGAGCAAGGCAGGCACTGAGACAGAGGAGGGACAAACCCTGCCAGTCCCCTCATCGCACAAAGGACAAAGAAACCACGTGGAGGTATTTTCCTCACACAGCTGCATAGTAGATAGAATTCTGCTAGTCATGTTGTGGGATATTTTTTTGAAAACATGTTGCGTCAACCTCAATCCCCTACACATGAGGGCAGGAGATAAATGCAAGGGTGCCCTGCGGAAGGAAGTGAGCTTCCTCTGGAGGGAGCCCAGTGTGCTGAGCCAAGTTCCAGGGTGGGAGAGGAACCTCCTCCTCACTGCAGTTCAACTAAATCCAACTAGTCCCCAATACAGAATTCCCAAGCCTCTTGTTTACTAGCTTGTAATCTGGTGAAACAGAAATAAGAGAAAAATTAAGAACTGGGTGCTGCCTCACATACGCAGACATCGGTGAACATCTTCACAGCACTGTGGTCTGAATGCTTTCCTCACCTCCGATCCCTAATGCAACAGCACTGAGAGGTGGGGTTTGGCCATGAGGACTCAGCCCTCAAGAATGGACTAATGCTATAAAAGGGGTTGTGAGAGGGGTCTACTCTCCCTCCAGCTTTTCTGCCTTGTGAGGACAGTGTCTTCTCAGGACAAAGTATTCAAGATGCCATCTGGGAAGCAGGGAAGCGGGCTCTAACACAGTCTTGACCTTGAACTTCCCAGCCTCCAGAATTCTTGGAGCATAATTTTCTGTTCTTTATAAAGTACCTAGTCTCCAGGACTCTGTTATAGCAGCCAAATGGATAAGTACTCACAGAAAAAGTTACAGTGGGGTTTGTTTAAAACATTTACTAAAACAAATAGAGATGCTTCTTAGAAATCAGAATAGAGAATAACCTGGAAGGACAAACAGATTTAATAAGTACAGCATCAAGTAAGCATAAAATATCATGAGAAAGAACATTGACCATTAAGTCCAGAGAGGATAAAGTGTGGGTCGGATAGGAGCCTTTAGCATTGAAGACTCTGGGCTCCCTCCTATCCCTACTTCTCTTTCATCCCTTTGTCCATCATTTGAACAGATAAACATACCACCTCAACTATAAAAGTCTGCTCAGTTAACAGATAAACACACCACCTCAACTACAAACGTCTGCTCAGTTAACAGATAAACACACCGCCTCAACTACAAAAGTCTGCTCAAAGGTGCCCGTAGCAGAACATAGAGTGGGAACAGTGTTGTCTCTGGGAAATGTTGCCATGGATACTGTATCTTAATTTGTTTATTTTTTGAGAATTCATACATGAGTACTGTATTTACATCATTTCTACCCCTTCTCTTGCACCTTATCAAAGAAGCATCTTTATGTCACTGATGAAGATGATTACAGAAAGACAGGTCACATGCTGAGAGGAAGTGCCAGTGGGGTGCCCAACCCCAGCTGATACATCTCAAGTGCAACCCTGACAGCTAAGCCTGGTGGTAAGAGCCAGGGGCCAGAAGGTCTGCTGCTGGTCTACTTGTTCTGTGGCCTCTGAAAGAAAAGGTCCATTCTCCTACATAGCCTCTTCCAATGGTATCTATACTTGGGAAATATTTCCTCTACCAAGGGCTAAATTTTCACAAAGTTCCTGGTTAGCAGATAACTTCATGCTAGATATTCAATACATATTACCAGCCACAACCAACCTGTCCAATAGAAATTCTAGAACGCCTTACAGATAAGGTAAATGAGTAGCAGACATTAATTTTACCAAATCTGTTCCACTAACAACTAATTTAAGTACTAGTAAAACAAATAGTGGCTGATTCAAAGCTGTAAAAGTAAATGCTCCAGACACTGGAAAACGCAGAGTGCCACCACACATCTGCTGCTAGGCGTACAATCCACCATCCCAAACACACAACCTTCTGAGAAAAGGGAGGCGTACACAGTGTTCTTTATTTTGACCTATGTTGTTCACATCCTATTTTGTCTGTCTCACATCACTTCCTTTTCTTCTTCCCTGACTCCAAATGACCATAAAAATCACTAGCATAAGCTGGCAATGTGGTTCAGTGGTAGAGAGCTTGCCTAGCATACTTAAGATGCTGGGTTTGGGCTCCATCGTTACAAAGAAGGAAAAAACCCACTAATCTTAATACAAAACAAGTTATGAAGAATATTTGCAATTTAGGACAGGCAAGATGGCTCAGTGGGTAAAGATGCTGCTACCAAGCCTGACTCAGGTTGATCCTAGTAAGATCCTAGGGACCCTGTGAGGGGAGAGAACAGACTCCCTCAAACTGTCCTCTGACCTCCACATGTATACCACAGCACATGCACAACCCCACACAAATAAATAAATATAATTCAAAAATCCATAATTCATACCACAAGGAGTTACTCCTTCTAATATATAAAGAGCCTAAAGAATTCAAGAAGTAGAAACAACCTGACAGGAAATGGGCAGAGCACAGAGCTGAAGAAAAATAAAAACATCAATTGAACATATGAAAGTTACTTTATTTCTTACATGTAAGACATTAACTTTATAAATTTTGTCAGATTTCCCTCCATTAGGAGTTTTACCCTTTAAACATCTACTAGTCATACATATACACATATATGTATATTTATGAATGAATGAATGAAATGGTTCTCCACAGCTTCACAAAACAGAATAAATCGCCCAATTTTTATATTTCTGCTAATCTAATAGGTGAGAATGCTACATTAATACAATTTTAGGTATTTTAAAATATTCAATTACTCTTTCTATAGTTTGGATTTTAAATCTATTTTTATTTTATGTGCATGAGTGTTTTACCTGCATGTATGTGCACCATGTGAATGCAATGCCCACAGAGCCCAGAAAAGGGTACTGGACCCCCTAGAATTGGAGTTACAGACAGTTCTTAACCACCATGTGGATGCTGGGAACCAAACCCGGATTCTCTGTAAGAGCAGTCAGTGCTCTTAACCACTGAGCTATCTGTCCATCCCCTATACTTTGGATCTTAAATATCACTTTACTTAAGGCTCATGTGTTGGACTTGGTCCCAGCCAATGGCACAAACAGGAGGTGGCAGAACTTTTGAGAGGTTGGGCCTAGTGGGAATTC